AAACCAAAGTTGTATCCATAATGCCTAGCACTTCGGACAGACAGAGCAGAGGGACATTTTGTTTTGGGGGACTATGATTAGGGTTTGGCATTACTGACAATTTGTGGTGGCAATGACTTGTTTTAATTTGGTAACTACTTAGAACAAATCCTATATGCTTTATTTAAACACTTTAATTTATAAACATGTGCACTAAAAAAACGTTTACTGTGAGTTTTATTGCTTTGGAGCTCTGTGAAACATTTACACACAGTGCACATTACTGGGAGTCTTACTCTTGTAGAGCTCTGAGATACATTCTCATTCAAAGCACTTTACTGTGAGTTGTGCTGTTGTGGAGCTCTGTGATACATTCATACACACTGCAGATTACTGTGAGTTGTGCTGTTGTGGAGCTCTGTGATACATTCATACACGCTGCAGATTACTGTGAGTTGTGGAGCTCTGTGATACATTCATAATACACACTGCACACTACTGTCAGTTTTACTGCCATGGAGCTCTGTGATACATTCTTACTCAATGCATATTACTAGGGTTTTGTGGCTGTGGAGCGCTGTGATATGAGATGGGCAGAGGTGAGATTTAATGTAAAGTACAGAACTAATACAAAGAAAAGAGACCCCCTTAGCACTAACATTTTGCCAGTACTGTGCAAACAGGTTAAAGGTTTAATTCACACATTAATAAATATGTTGATAAATGTGTAACTGTGCGGGTTTAGAAGAACACTGAGAGGTTAGAGTTCAGTTAGGGTTTGCAGAACCTCCAGCAAGGGGTTCCCTATCCTAAGTGCGTCCAGCTGGGTATAGGACAGTCAGTGGAGCCGAGTATAGGGCCAGCCGAGCTGGGTTATGGGAGGGCCAGCCGAGCAGGGTTACGGGAGGACCGGCCGAGCAGGGTTACGGGAGGGCCAGCCGAGCAGGGTTACGGGAGGGCCAGCCGAGTAGGGTTACGGGAGGGCCAGCCTAGTAGGGTTACGGGAGGGCCAGCCGAGCTGGGTATGGGATGGTCAGTGGAGCCGAGTATAGGGCCAGCGGAGCAGGGTTACGGGAGCGCCAGCCGAGCAGGGTTACGGGAGGGCCAGCCGAGCCGGGTTACGGGAGGGCCAGCCGAGCCGGGTTACGGGAGGGCCAGCCGAGCCGGGTTACGGGAGGGCCGGCCGAGCTGGGTTACGGGAGGGCCGGCCGAGCTGGGTTACGGGAGGGCCGGCCGAGCTGGGTATGGGATGGTCAGTGGAGCCGAGTATAGGGCCAGCCGAGCTGGGTTACGGGAGGGCCGGCCGAGCTGGGTTACGGGAGGGCCGGCCGAGCTGGGTTACGGGAGGGCCGGCCGAGCTGGGTTACGGGAGGGCAGGCCGGGCTGGGTTACGGGAGGGCAGGCCGGGCTGGGTTACGGGAGGGCCGGCCGAGCTGGGTTACGGGAGGTCCTGCCGAGAAGGGTTACGGGAGGGCCAGCCGAGCTGGGTTACGGGAGGGCCGGCCGAGCTGGGTTACGGGAGGGCCAGCCGAGCAGGGTTACGGGAGCGCCAGCCGAGCTGGGTTACGGGAGGGCCAGCCGAGCAGGGTTACGGGAGAGCCAGCCGACCAGGGTTACGGGAGGGCCAGCCGAGCTGGGTATGGGATGGTCAGTGGAGCCGAGTATAGGGCCAGCCGAGCTGGGTTACGGGAGGGCCGGCCGAGCTGGGTTACGGGAGCGCTGGGTACGTATTGTAAGGTTAGTTTTGCTAACAACACAAATTAGCAGGAAAACAAAAACAGAAAACATGTTTCTGTGACATAATATTAGATCAGGGATCAGCAACCTATGGCACTCGAGGTGCCTTTGCACGGCACTCAAGGCTGCCAGAGACAAACAGGCTGTGTCCTTTCAGGAGTCCCAGCGGGAATTCAGATATCTGCTTGTGCAATCCGACCTATGATTGCAGGTAGTGAGGGACATTCCTCAATTTATACATTGCAGCACTTAGAGGAAGTGATCTCAGATCTTTTCTTCCAAGCTCTTGGGAACAGCAATCTGTTCTTGAGTAGAGTAGCACACAGTTATCACAGCTACTCCATTGCAGCTCCTCAGCCTGGCCCCAATGGACCACAGGGAAGTAGTCCACACTGCTATGTATACACAGAGCTGCAGAAGAGGTATTTTCCTCATACAAATAATACAAACAGACCATACACATACAGTACCCACAAACACAACACCATTGACAATTCACATACACTCACACAACCCCACAAACAGCATCTCACACACAATTCCACAAGCAGCCCCAATATACAGCCCACATTCATAGATATTATACACAATACCACAAACTACTCATGAGTATAGACAACATAAAAGCCCACATACACACAAATACAACGTTACAAAGCAACCGCAGTGCCCATAAATAGCACCAAAACAATACAGCAACATGCACACCTCAATTTAAAAAAAACTGGACTGCCACGCCAAGCGGCTTCAATATCTTGTTTTGGCACAATACGACTAAAAGGTTGCCTACCCCTGTATGAGATGTTCACTGCTATTTAACTCATGCAGGGTATTGTCCACCCTCGGTACTGGAAATATCAGACGGTACGCTCTCCAAGGAAGCAAGGAAGCACAAGATCTCCATAAATGTCTGTAGCACATATCCCAAACATTGAGGATCCATATTCCAAGCTACCAATATGTATTTCCTTTTGTAATGCATCTCAAGAACCGTGTGCTTAAACCACCGTGTGCTTCAAATAAAAATATAAATAATAGGAGGTCTGGAGTAACATAGTTCATTCATTGGTAGTTTGGGGTAATTTAGTTTGAATGAGTGGATCTCTGTGAAGTGCCTGTCTCAGCTCCTCTGTTACATTTAGGGATGGATAGACTGGGGGTAATCAGGGAACGTACATGTCAAACTTTAGTGTGATCCTCTAATTCAATACATTCACATTAGCAAAATAAATTGCAAAACAATCAATATAAACCCACCATGAGGCTGAACCAGACATGCCTGAAGTCCTGTCCCCAACATTCAACATCCACTGATCTCAAAAGACAAGCTTGTAATCAGTCACTCAGTAAACGAATTAATACCCCGTTAATCAAGTATTGCAGCCCATCAGTTGTAACTGCGTTGAAACTGGAACTTGATGATATCTTTTATGCGTGCATGATACCAAAAAAAGGGGAGGGAGGGGTGTCTAAACAAACCTTCAAGCTGCCCATTTGTAAATACGGCTACAGAATATAACAATCTTATTAGAAGAACTTCAAAAAGGAACTCTATATACTTACTGCATAAACTAGCATAAAGTGAGATCCTAAAATGCCATGCAGGTTGACACAGCAAGCCGGCTGCTCAAGTACCCTCAACATTTCAGAGAGCACCTGTAGGATTTATAAGGATTTCATTTATAACAAATTATTCCTGGTCCTCATGGGCAGGGCTCTGCAGTGGATGCATTATTAGCCCCTCCCACTTCCTGACCAGCCTTGTGTCCCCCTGACCTGACTATTGTGACCTATGCTTTCATCTTGGGGCATGGAATTTCCCTTACAGGAACAGCAAACCTTTCAGGATATTAGACACAATGAAATCTCTGTATTATACAAGACAACCTAATAGGGCACAGGAAGCAACAGTGAACAACGAAGGATGGAAAAGGAGCAAAACAAAGGAGAGCAGGGAGAGGACAGGAGTAAAGACGATGGGGGGACTGGATCTCAAAGAGGACAACAAAGACACAGTATTTCAGTATTAAAACATAACGTAGATAATTTGGGCTAAGTGGCAATCATGTGATGTAATTTCCAAATGCTGGTATGTATTTAACAGCTCTTACATACACAGGGCCCAATGCCAACAATCATCACACAGAACTATTTATTAACACCACATCGCTGTCTTTTACTTGAAAGGTTAATGAAGAAGTGAAAAAGGGACGGTTAGAAGCGGATGTCAGTTTAGGCATATCTCTTGTTCTATGTTTGGTTCACCCCGTCCATAAAGCTACACTCTAGTGATGTCTTCTGAGCCATCAGTCAATTCCTGGGGAATTTCTCTTCTCCTTAACATTATCTTGTCAGACCTTCCGATCTCCTTGTTGGATGTTAACATCCTGGGCTGAGGAAGGAGCTGTCATTGTTATCTGCAGGACACAGAATGCCCGGGGGGGGGAGAGACATGCCCTGTCATTGGCAGAGATATCGTCTGAACAGATGTCCTTGGCACGGCTTCCTAATGCACACACTGCTCCGTGCTATTAAGATGTAGGTGAGAAGCAATATGAAATATTGCTGGTAGGGCAGTGAGAACTGCTATCCGATACGATAGTTACACTGCCAACTCTAAGTCTGAGATTTGTATTAAATGCCATGAGCTGGCACTGCTCAGTCTTAAGAAAACCTTTCCTTCCTGCGGCCTGCATCGTCTGAATTATACCCCATACAGGAAATAATTAAAAGGTACCAGTGGGCTCTGGGAACCATGGAACAGCCCAGTCAAGAGCCATACACCTGCCAGAGCAAGTGCCTCTTCCTGCCCTACCCTCAGGGCACCCATGTGTGCAACCCAGGCCACAAGAAGAGGTAGTCCTAAAAACCATAGAGAGGATGCAGTGATGGATTGGCAGATACACCCTGGACAAGGCAATTTTGGTGCCATCTCAGCTCCCTCTGGTCAATGTGACCTGGAGGAGATGTATGAAGAGACACACAGCAGGTATTTACTCTAAATACACTCACACAGATACACAGATAGTGATAGTGTACTAATGCCAGTCACTCTCACAGGGGTGCACAGCAGCAGAGCATGAATGTATCTAAAAGGGCCTCACTCGCACACCCACCTACCTCGTGCTCCTGCAACCCTCGACCCTCATGTGGTCAGCTCAACTACCCACGCCGGCCGCTCA